AACCGGTCTGTATGTGGGATCCGAACCCTCGGGGGGGAGCGCCGCCGCGCTTCCCAAGCGGCGCACTATCCAGTGCGCCACCGGGCCGGCCCCATTCTTACCACCTCTTGCAGACGACACTCTTCCACGTTCCTTGCTCCCTCCAAAGTTCAACGGCCTTCTGAGTAGCTGCATTTAATCATCTCTAAGTACCTCAAACTAAAGGTGTCCAAAGCCAAGTTCATTATCTTTTCCAACATAGTAACTCCTCTGCCTCACTTCACCATCTCTGTGAAGAATCAAAACTCTGGAATCATATTCTCACAACTGAAAATAGACATCACTTTTTAAAAACTTCACTGTGACGGACACAGCAGAAGTCTGAGACATGGTCTGAGACTGTAGGGAGCCTATAGTCTAGCTGGATAGAAAAGACTGTCCATGAATTAGCAATGAATTAAGGAGCAGATACAATAGAATCCAGCAGATGCAAAGGATCTGAGTACCCTTCCTTGAATCTGACAGATAGAATGTGTCTAGCACACGCAAGAGTACACAGTGAATTATAACTGCTGCCAGCAACATAATTAACATCCTCATGGTGCCTTATGGATGTGGTGGATTTAAAATACTTCCACAAATTCTTTGACAGTCAATTTAAATGGCAGAGACTAATTCTCTTCCCCTTCAGTGTGGGCAGAATTTGGTGACTTGCTTCTAACAAATAAAGAAAGAAGTGACAGTGAACAACCACTGAGACAAGGTCATAAAAGACACTGCAGCTTCCATCTTGGTCTTACTTGCTCCAGGGGGAGACAGCTACTGTGCTGTGGGGATGCTCAAGCAGCTCTATGGGGAGGTCCATGTGGTGAGGAACTGAGGCCTCCTGCCAACAGCCACGTGAGTGAGGCATCTTGGAAACAGACTCTCCAGCCCCACTCAAGCCTTCAGATGACCACAGCCGTAGTCAACAGCCCGACTATAACTTCATTGCTCTCTGAGCCATAACCACCAGCTAGGCTCCTCCCAAATTCCTGACCCACAGGAACTGCAAGATGATAAATTGTTAATTTTTTAGGCTGCTACGTTTCAGGGTAATTTGTTACACAGCAATAGGAAACCAACACAATGATTTACATAGTGCTTTCCCATAAAATCAATTAATCCTTATAACTCCATGAAGTCAGCATATTATCATCTTCATTTTATAGATGATAACACTAGAACTCAGAGAATTTACTTATTTATACTTCACTTCTTTCGAAAAAGGAATTGAGGAGGTTTAGAGACGACAACAAACATACTTGACCAATGGTCAGAAAACCAGTATGTGGCAACGTCAAGATTCAAAGCTAAGTCCTCTGATTCCGGACCCCATACAATTCTATCTTTCCGTAAGGGCACACGTCAACTCAGTGCTACTAACACCAAATCCAACATACGGAACATATAACCATGCCCCGTAAGGATACAGTACTGAGTTAAAACACACAGTACAGACAAGAGAAGAGGGCAATGTGTAAGCACATGCTGACTGCGCTACACGAGCAACACAGGAAAAACCATAGGAAAAACGAGTCTCTCTGGGCTACAATGGCCAGCGAATGTTTTGTGGAGGAACGAAAGCCACTATTACAACTCAATTCTGTGAAGCCTCAGTAAATAAATGTCAAACAACTCCTCTGGCAAAGTCATTGGATTGGCTGCCTCAGCAGATACAAAGACATATAAGACCCATCCCTCCCATGGAGCTGTTAGCTCTCCAGCTAGAGAGAGTCACTTGACAAATATATTTTACATACCAGCTCTAAGCCAGGTACTGTAATAGGCACAGAAACACAGCAGTGAACCATGCAGAATTTACATTCTGCTCGGGGAAAATCAACCAAGAAGACAAAAAAAGAAATAAATACTTAAGATCCCGATGACATTACTGCTTTGGAAAAAACTAGAGTGGGGACAGGGAGGAGAGTGTGCTGGGGGACTTGGTACTTTTATATAGGGTGGCTGTGGAAGGGCACACTGATAAAGTGAGAACTGAGCAGACCCCTGATGGAAGTGCAGGCCGGGGGGCTGTGCAGATATCCAGGGTAGGAGCTTCTCAGTGGCGAGTCCCCTGGGTGGGAGCATACAGGGTAAACTGGCAGATCAGTGAGAGGCCAGGGTGTGCAAGGGAGCCAGCGAGAGAAAGTGCAGTGGGGACACAGTCTGAAAGCTGAGAGAGGACAGCATGAGCCACACGTGAAACTCAGGCTTTTCTTCTGAATAAGATGCAAAGTCATTTGGGAGGTTTAAGCAGAAGTACAATGTGACTGGCTTATATTTTAAAGGGATCACTCTGGCTGCTGTTGAGAATAGAGGCTATGGGGCGGGGGGACAAGGGTAAAGACAAGAAGACCCCTCAGGAGGCTGTGGCAATAATCAGATGAGGAAGGCTGGTGGCTCAAACCAGATGACGGCGACAGAGACAGACGTGGCAAGGAGCGGTCAGATCGTGGACATATTTTGAAGAAAAACTAGATGGTATCTACTACTATATTGGAAGTAGGCCATGAGAAAGAGAGGGGACAAGTATGACATGACTCCAGGGCTCTGGCCTGAACAACTGAAAGAATAGAATTGTCATCAACAGAGATGAGGACCACTTTGGGCAGAACAGGTTTCAAGCAGAAGATCTGGAGTTCAGTGTGGTAGTGTTAGATCTGAGATACTTGCTGATGTCCAAGTGGAGATGCTGCATTGACAGGGAGGAATGTGAATCTGGCATTCAGGAGGGAAGTCTGGGCAAGATACAGAGAGAGGGGGTGTGGGAGGAAAAGAATATACCTGAGAGATGACAGCATTCAGACTGCATTTAGAACCACGAGACTGGATGAAGTCATGAGGGACTGAGTGCGAATAAAGAGCGAAAGGCCAAGCCAGAGCCCTGGGCCACTCCAAACATTAAGAAGTTAGGAAAAGGAGGTGAAACCAGCAGAGAAGATTGAGAAAGAACAGGTAGTGAGGTAGGAAAAGAATCAAGAGAGGAAGGTGTCCTGGAAGCCACATGATAAGGTGTTTCAAGGAGGGAGCATGCTGGGGGCCGGCCTGTGTCTCACTCAGGAGAGTGCGGTGCTGATAACACCAAGGCCACGGGTTCGGATCCCATATAGGGATGCGTGGTTTGCTCACTGGCTGAGCGTGGTGCTGACAACACCAAGTCAAGGGTTGAGATCCCCTTACCGGTCATCTTTTTAAAAAAAAAAAAAAAAGAGGAGGGAGCATGCAACGCTACTGATGGGGCAAGGAGGACGAAGGCTGAAACTGACCTGTGACTTTAACACCAGGGCCATCATTAAGGCCTTGAAAAGCCAATAGGCTGGAGGGGTGGAAGCAAAAGCCTGATCAGAGCATGTTCCAGCTACCGATTTACTTTAATCCTGAGAACAGAGGAACATGTTAAATGAGGAGCTCAGGCATGCAACCAGCAGACTCCAGAAGACAGTGAGACAGACACTTGACAGGACAGGTGGTCCAGCTCCTTCCAGAGAAAGATTGCAAGGAAAAATAAGAGATGGAGGAGGAAGCTATAGGTTAAAAAGGTCTTAAGAGCCATCTCAATCACAATCTGTGGACCCAGGAAAGAGGGGAGAGCTGACGGTATGGAGGAGAAAGGGGAGAGATGTGAGGGTGACCTGCTGGAGGAGGGAAAGCGGGGACACCGAGCCACAGTAGCAGGGGAAGGCAGCATCTGTGGGCACTGAGGCAGCAGATGGATGAACGAGCTGGCTGCTCACAGAAGCCTCTTTGGGGTGACCCCATTCCCACAGTGAAGCAGAAAGCAGGGCCATCAACAGAGTGCGGCGTCGATGCTCTGGGAGAAGAGTAGGGGAGCCAATGGAACAGGAAACTGGGCATGAATACTGAACTTCCAGAAGGGCCTGCCTGAGGCTGGTGATCATGACTTGAAAGCGCTCCATCTCCAGACAAGCATGTACAAAAACAGCCAATGACAAATGGTCACTGGGAGTTGTCAAGTGGAAAAACCAAGCACCGAAGAGTTGCAGGAATTTGCAGACAACCAGACAACTGAGGGAGAATCTGGGAACAGTGAAAGCAAAAGCTCCAAGACAGAAACATGCAGACCCTGTGGGGAATGGGCAGAGGCCAGCCAGAACATTCGAGACTAGGTTGTTTAAGTGGAGATGGGCTGTAAGAAGACACTGAAATTAGACAACGGGGAGCTAGACAAGTTTGTCAGGAGAACTGACAATATGAAATCAAGGGTTTCATTCATCTGTGCTATTCCTCACCTCCATCCCTGACCCCAGGGACTGCCACATACATACCTTAGGGGCCTCCCCTTTGCTGCCCGGGGGCAGCCGCAGGACCCAGAAGTTCCTGTTGCGCAGCAGATTCTCCAAGTTCTCCAGCCGCCGCTGCAGCAGCCCGTACTCCTGCAGCAGGGTCCCCAGCACGGCCCACTTGCTTTCCATGTGGTTCCCAAACTCCACCGCTGTCTTCTCACAGTCGGCCAGCTTCTTCTCAGCTGTCCCCGTGCGTCCCTCCAGGTTCAGCAGCTGGCTAGCCTGGGCATCCACCTTCCTCTCCACGGCCTGAATGGCGGCCACCACGGTCCAGAGCGAGATCTCTGCTGTGGGCAACTGGGGCTCTCGCATCATGCGGTCAGGAAAGACGGGTGCCCTATCTGGGAAGGGCGGGAACTGAAAAGGCATCGGTCGCCGGGCGTCCATGTCCCATTCCTGAGCCTGTGTGCAGAGGGAGAAAGTGACAGCCCAGGTTGAGACGTGTGAGAGAGGAAGGTGGCCTGAGAGCAAGGACAAGTAATCAAATATCACATATGGCCTTCTGCCAAGCCCCCACCCCTAGGCTATGGTGAGCATTAATGTCCCCAGCAATAGCTAGAGCAGCCATCCACCCACCCAACTAACCACGCTCCCATTTCCTGCCCATGGGAGTCAGGCTGGTCACTAGTTCACCCACCTTGACACCTGCCTAAAATGTCCACGGACCACTTTGTTTGAATAGAACAACTGCTTTCTTCAAGGGCTAGCCTTAACGGCAAATTTTATATTTGCCCAGTGTTTTTAGTTTCAAAGTTAGAATTTTCCTGTAAGTTATCTGACACTAATCTTCCCAGAAATCTCTCAGCAGGTTAGGGCAAGAATAGTCATCTCCACTTTAAAGATGATGAAATCGAAGCACCAATAAGCCGCTGGTCATTCCACAGCACCTCCCTACACTACCAACTGGAGCCGCTCGAGGTGCTGCCGGTAACAAAAGACAT